GCTGCCACCTGACCAGACTACTGCATGAAGAGTGAGGGTCTGAGGGGCAGACCTGGTTTAAATCCAGCTGCGTCATTACTGTCCCTGCAGCAAGGTCTGAACTCACTTTCCTAATCAGAGAAAAGGAGTTAGAAGTCCAGCCCAGACCTTTGTTTCCTGTAACATGACAGTTTTGAACACATCACACTGGCTACCTGACCCTCCAGAGCAGTGTCTGCCCAAGTGCCCTGTCCCCTGTCCCAGCCCCATGGAGAGGCTCCCAGGAGTGAGTGACTCAGGGAATGACAGCCTGGCTGATCCGGTGATCAGGTTAATCCCGTCCTCACATCTCTAAAAGATTCTACCTCATTGCAACCATCAGACGCCACGGCAACTGGTGAGCAGCTCCCAGACCCCAGGGCTGGGCGTGGGGGGGCGCCATGTCACCTGGTAGGAGCCTGGCTTCCAGCCAAGACATTTCTGTCCCTAAAAAGAAAGTTTCTCTTCACATGAGAACTGGGTTGGAGACGCTAATGCATTTTGAAGCACTTGCTGAAATACCCATTTTGTGCTCTGACATCCAACCCTCCATCCTCTCAACATGAAACCACCAAGCAGCGAGAACCTGCCAGTGCAGCCAGAGTTGCGGCGATGACCACATGCTGGCCTGAGAGGAGGCGGTGGGGCTGAACCCCCAGGCCTAGCACAGTGTGCTAGAGAACAGTCAGCTGCCTGCCTGAGAGTTATTACCATCAGTGAGGCAGCACAGGCCCTGGGTTGGGGCTCCTATGGAGAACAGGCCACGGCCCATGGCCAGAAGTGGCACAGGCAGGCTGGCCGGAGGGCATGGGGGCACTGGGGACAATTAGGGGCACTGTAGACCACACCTACCCCTGAGCCACCCCCACCACCTCCTGTCCACCCAGAGTGGTTCCAAGTCCCCTGATACAGGGCATCATCTAACTCCAAGAGTTGTCCCTCCAGGCACCCTGAACACCCATCATGCCAGGATGTCATCTGTCCTTGTGTCTTCCGCACCACACCTGGCTGCCCCCCTGAGGCTGAACCTCCTGGATAGCATGGTGGTGGCCACCACAGTCCCCTTCACCTTTGTCCAGGTGTAGCAGCAGCTGCCCCTCCCAGCTGCTCTATCTGATACCAGCAGCGTTTCTCTGGGGGGCCCAAGACGCCTGGCCTGAGCTACAATGCAGAGGTTACCCACACCTCCTGGCTGGGCCCACCTTCCAGGATGGTGGAGGAGGCCAATGCCCACCACAGCTAGTGGATGGCAGCCACTGAGGGCTGGCACACTCCACCTGTGAGCTTCCCAAGGACATGGAGGTTTCCTCCTGATCAGGGAGAATCAGGCTCTGCTGGTCTGAGGGCTGCCCCCAACACACACACCATACAAACAGTAGTTGCCGGCTGCCAGAGCCTTGGCCCAGCACAGACCCTCACCCCCCACTGCAGCTGAGGGGCTTGCAGTTGGTCCTGGGGTCCTGGCCTCCTTGGCCCGACTCTCCTAGCGCCTGGGTCCAGCTTCTCCCCTCCCTCCCCTCCTCCCTTCCCTAGAGTGACAGGAGTGCCTGTGAGCTAGCACATTACTCCCCACTTACTCCCCACTTAGCAGCGGATGACTCACCCAGGTATCTCAGAGTGTCCTCTGCAACAGAAAGAGGGCTTTGTGTCTCAGAGCAAAGCAAGTCAGGGACCCAGCATCAAGGGCCCTGACACACCTGCCCAGCGGGAGGAGAGCAAAGGCTGAGGGCTGGTGAGGCTCAGCCCCAGGTTCTGGCGGTGGTGTGGCCCCTCCTCCGGGCCTGGGGAGAAACATTTGACTATGGAAACTTGGAACACACACGTTTGGGAGAGGACCCCAAACGTTCCGACACCCCCTTCCTCCTGGAGCATCTTTGAGCCAGCCCCACACACCACACCCTTTCATCTGCAGAGACTTGGTTATTTATGAAACAAAGTCTTTGGGAAATATAACCAAATACTCTTATTACGCCAACAAAATATTCACAAAGTCTATGATGGGATCCTGTCCCTCCTGCTGGAGCTGGACCATGTTCAGTTCCCTGAGTGACTAAAAATCGTCCTTTTACCACTGGTTTTGTTCAAATCAAGAGAGAATGAAGCTGATTCTTGATTCCTCCCAAGGTCGTGGGGCCTTGAGGGTGGCCCAGGGGTCCCTCTGTGCCTGCACCATTCCCATTCAGAGAGACTAAAACCCACCACCAGCATATGACTGTGTACATGCTGGAGTCAACAAACAGCTGGCGGGGGATGTGGACAGCCCAGACTTCCGAACTGGGGTGGCCAGTGAGGCCTCTGAGAGGGGACCTCAATAAATGTCGTGAAAAGGACAGGATGGATGGTGGGGTCAGAGGTGGACCCAGCCTGGACGGCTTCCCGGAGCCTGGGGGCTACACTCCAGGCTCACTGCACCGAGCTCTCAAGGACACAGGCCCCTGGGCCCTCAAGAGGCCTAGTCCTGCTCCAGCAGATGTCTGACCACCTGGCTCCTCCCCACTTCCCTAGGCATGAATCCACCGTGAACTGGGCAAGGGGATCTGGCAATGCCTGGCCTACAGTAGGTGCAGGCTGAGCCCCCACCCCCACTGAATTCCCCAGGCAGCCAGTTAACTATATCTGCCCGGGCTGCTGAAGGTAAATGTGGAGGTGGGAGGAGAGGGGAGGGACGGGGTATCACCCCCACCCCAGCCCTGAGCGACATCACCTTCCTGCTAGAGGTGGTCTCGAGGGGCCTCACTGTCCTCTGAGCCTCTGCACGTCCTCAGCCCAGAGTCACCAGGTCCCAATCACCCAGCCCTTGGTTTCACTATTATGGGAAAACACACATAATATAAAATTCACTACTTTCACCATTTTGCATGGACTGTTTGGAGGCACAGAACACATTCAGTGGTGCAACCATCACCACTAAGCCCAGGGCTTTTCTCCACTCCACACAGAGCCCTGTGCCTTGCATGGCCCCTCCCCGCCCCTCACCCCAGCCCTCCAGCAAGGCCCAACCAGCCTTGGGCAGGGCCACAGGCTGTCCCCAACTTCAGCACTTGCAGGTGTCCCACATCCTCAGATGACTCAGAGCAGGACACGAACCGTGGACACGAATGAGAGACAGGCCATGTGCACTTATTACCCAGCAGACGTCAGGCTGGAGAAGGCAATTCCAACATTTTGAGTTCAACAAACAGAAAGTCTGCTTCATTGACTTGTTTAGCTGCAGTGAAGTGTGTGGGGTTTTTTCTTTGAACTTGTCCTTTGAGAGTGGGGGACACTTGGCCAGCACCGTTGGTGGCAAGGCCCTCTGAGTGGACAGGGCTTTGTGGTAGGGCCTGTGGCCCCCCACAGACGACAGAACAGCTGTGAGCATGCTGTGGGGCTCCCAGGGCCAGAGGGAGGGGCAGGGGTCTCTTCCTTTTGAGGGATAAACTAAGATGAGGCTGGCATCTGGGGGCAAGTAGGCTTAGTAGTGGAAGTGAGGCCCCAGCCCAGGGTCTGGCAGAGTGGGGGCAGGGCCTAGCAGGGAAGGCTCTCAGAATTTCACATGCTCGCCTGCCCGCATTGCACGACACCGGCCATGGCCCCTCAGTCTCCACCACCTTCCCTGACCTGGTGTCCTGACCCCCACCCCTTAAGTCTCTGTTTAATTAAATAATGAGGCCCAATGAGAGCCAGTGGCCTCATTTTGGAGCCACAAATGAGATTTCAGGGTGTCCTCATCAGAGCAGCCAGTGATGGAAGTGTTCCTGAGCTGAGAGGAAGCCTTGTGCTGTTGGCTAGCTTTTATTAAAATTTATTGCCCCATCAAAAGGGGTAAAATGACTTATTCAGAAAAGGGAAGATAGTGTATTGTGGCACCTGGCAGAGGGGCAGGTGGTGAGGCAGGCAGGTGGGCTCAGGGTGGCCCCAAGGACCCACCTCCCACACCTGTCCCGGCTGCCACCTGCCTGGGTCATCTTCCCTCTGGACACCCAGGCCCAGTTCTGGCACCACCTCCCACTAGCCAGGAATCTAGGCCCTGGGGCAGCAGCTCCCTACTGGAGGCTGAGGCTGCATGTCTGACACCTCTGTCAGCCCCAGTGCCTAGAAGCACCACCTTGCCCTCTCCCAGCAGGGCCTCTGCAAGAAGTGGGAGGGCAGAAAGGAAAGTGCCAGCTGGTGACGACCCAGGAGATCGGGCTGCTCCAGGCTGGGGAGGGGTGTCCCGCCACTGCGCTCAGGCTGAGACTCTGGAAAAGGAGAGCCAGGGAGGGAGAAGGGAAGATAGGGGACCCAGTGGGAACAGTCAGGAAGGGAGTCCTCTGGGAGAAGTCCTCAGGGTGGCACCCACTGGCTGTACTCAACTCCAGGACAGTGCTCTGGGCTGCATGCTGAGCTAGCCACATGGCCCATCTGCTGACCTGAATCCAGGGTCACACTGCAATCATCTGGGCTACCATAAGGCTTTGTGAGTGTGGGGGTGGCCCGATGCTACCACAGATGCCCTAAGACACAGAGGGTTGCCTGAGGGAGCTCTCCTCCTTGGGTGCAAGTTGAACCCACACAGACTCCAGCCTCTCCCCTCCATTGTGTCCAGCTGCCATCAGGCTGGCAGGTGATCGACAGACATGTTCCCACCAGCTCCAGCTTCACATCCAGTCCAGTGGGCTCCACCTAAGACTGGACGGGGAGTGGAGCAAGCACCTAGGGCTAGACACTCAGAGGACACAGCAGTCTCCAAGAGAGTCCTGGGCAGCAGGACAGGGTGGAGGCGCAGGGCGGAGCTAGGTGCACAACTCACAGGATGGCCTTGCTGGGCTCTAGCCAGCCAGCACCTGCACCCCAAGAACCCTCCCTCAGCCTGAAGCCCCTGTGGGGAGGAGGGGAGAGGGAGGCAAGCAAGACCCAGCCCTGCTCCCTGAAGCAACCCCCTAGCAGCAGTAGGGTTTCAGCCAGAGCCTGTACCTGGCTGGTCCTGAATACAGCCCCAGGAACAGACACCACTCAGCCAGTCTGTTGACAGCGTTTATTGATTGGCCACAATACGCCAGGACAGAGCAGATAGCGAGGGTGTGACATGAGCCCATGCCTGGGGTCTGGCTTAATGAGGACCCAGCTCCAGCCAGGAACCCCACCTGCCTGGCCTTCCCCCAGCTCCACCTGCCCAGCAAAGTGAAGAGCCACTGGGCATGTCAGTCAGCCTCCATGTGGCTACTGCTGACGGTGAGGGCAGCCTCGCCTGACTCACCTAACTTCCTGTTACACCTCAAGCAGCGCCTCACAGGGATACAAGTCCAGAAGTGACACAAATAACACAGAAGTACAGGGTGTGAAGGAAGTGATGACAGCAGCATAGCACGGAACAGGCCCAAAGGCCCGGCAAGACACTAAATCACCACACTGCTTTCCCTACCTTTACACACGGCATCAAAGCAGGACACACGCTCCACGGTCACATATGCCATGCCGGTCGTGGCTGTCACCCTGGCGTTTGGGAAGCTGTAAAAACATGAGAACCCAAGTGCAAACCACACACTTGAGTTCCCTCAACTCACGGGAACCAAGGTCTCCCAGAGGGAAAAACAGCAAACAGATGACAGCTATGTGTCCATTCAGCTGCCATGACATGACTTCAGGAAGGGGCTGGAATTCTGGGGCAAAAGAATACAGAAGAATACAGAAAAGTACCCTGACTCGTGTGCAGAGGATAAGCAGTGCCACCGGAGCCTCTTGTGGTTGCAGGTCTGGGGCCAACGAGGCAGCACCAATGAAACAGCCCAAAGTCAGCCAAGAGACACAGGAGTCACCATGTTCTCCATGTCCCACCTGACCACACCAGCCAAGGCAGCTAGCAGTCCCCTAAGTATTACTAGGGTGTTAACAGCTGCAATAGAAGTTCCACTATTGCTAGAAATCTGAGCAGCATGCTGCTTCCTATCTGTTACGTATGTGCAAACCTAAGACTCATTTCTGAAGGCCTAATCAAGATTTGGTCATGTGAAGGCCATGAAATGTGAAATTCTGGGGAATGTGGGACCGTAAGCCATCAGTCCACTGGACTGAGCCAAGACACTAGCAGCAGCACAGGGCCCCATGGTCCCCCATCGGGCAATGGGCAGGTTGGCCTAATGTTCCTGCTTGCTTTAGGCAAAGCAGTTCAACCACATCAAGCTAGCATGCGGCCCATATCTTGGGGTCTGGGTTCAAGGTGGGGGGAGGGGGTGCTGGAAACAATGGAGGAACTTTTAGGAGCCTCTTTCAACTACATAAGATCACACCTAAAGTGGGGACACACAAACAAGTTGCCTATAAAGCCACAAGTAGGGATTTTGCTGACTTGAGGCCATAAACTGAATCCTAGCCTTGGTGGCCTGCCCTTGGGGTCTACCTAACACAGGCATAGCTAACAGACCAGCAGACTGAGCCTTGAGGGCCAGGAGAGGTGGGTCTTGGGACCGGCCAGCCTGTCAAGTGACAGCAGGTACTGCCAGAGTGCTGGCTTTTCTCCTCTGGGACAGGAAGACATCTCTATGCTCAGTCAGAGCAAGGCTCAGCCAGCGAACACTAGACCAGAAACTGCCCGCAGTCCGGGGCTCTGGCCATGGGAGGCTCTGGGAGGTTTTAGGTTTGGTGGGCCATTCCAGAATATCTCCTCATGCTCGTGTGACATCACAGGTAACACAGGTTAACGGAATGGGAAGGGCAGTACACGTCTTAGCACACCTACTCTTCTGGGACAGCTCCCGCCAGTGGGCACCATGCAGCCACACTGCTGGGCACCATCAGTTTTGGCCTGCAGTGGACGGGGAGCAGGCCAAGGTGGCGTAGCCACCCGCACGCTCCTGGGGGGCTTCGAGCTTGACCACAGCCCTTAGGGCCGGGCGCCACCACCGCCCCTGCCGCTGCTGCACGAACACAGAGCGCAGTGCACGCAACTGCCCCAGCTCCTGCACCGTGAAGCAAGGCTGCCTCTCTGCAAAGCGGAGCACAGCGTCAAAGGCCACAGCAGCCTGCTCCCAGGCAGCCTCCTCACCCTCCCTGGCATCCTCAGTCCCACCATTCTTCTCAGCCTGCTCTGGGTGACCCTCAGCTGGACACCCACCTCTGGCCTCCTGCCCCAGCCCAGCCTGTTCAGCAGCTGCACTCCCGTGAAGTCTGCTGCTCGGCAGGGACTTGACCTCTCGCCCGAGCTCCAGGACATGCGCAAAGGTCTGGTCATGAGGCTTGGCTCTAAGGTGCTCATCCTCCTCAGGTGAGCCTTCGGCCAATGCAGCCGTGGGCCACAGCTTCCTCCAGGCCCGGCTGAATATGGCACCTGGCACGGCATTCCACGCACAGGCCACACTGCAGATGGCATCACTCACGTTGTAGCATGGGTGCAAGCTCTGCAGCGCGACGGGGGGGTTGATGAAATTCCTCATAAAGTCTCGTCGAATGCCCTGGTCCATGGGTTGAATTAAGGAGGTGACACTGGCAGGAAGAAAGATGGTAAAAATGTTCTCAGACACCAGCTCGGACTCCTGTGGGTGGGCCCGGGAGCTATCCAGCAGGAGGATGGCTTTGCTGTCTTCAGGCAAACCCAGGGCTCGGAAGTGCTCTCTCACAGAGGGGGCGAAGATATGATGGAACCAGTCAGAAAAAACTTCCCTGTCTGCCCAAGTGTTCCCGTGAGCCTGGTAGGCCACAGGCAAGTGCTGGATGCCCCTGGAAGCCCGGGAGCCACTACACTTCCCGATCACCAAGGGCTTGATTTTGTGGGAGCCTGTGGCATTGGCACACATGAGGACAGTCAGCCTGTCCTTGCTTTGTCTGCCACCGGGCACCAGACTCCCCTCATGGGTGGGACTGGGCAAGCACTGCCAGAAGAGGCCAGTCTCATCAGCATTGTACACCTGCTCCGGCGTCAGGCCATGCTCCACTGTCAAGCTCCGGAAAAACCCACAGAACTGCTCCGCTGCTTGGTGGTCAGCCACCTGCTTTTCACTGGATGCATCCAGCTTCTTAATGCCGTGTCTGGCCTTAAAACGCCACAGCCACCCACCAGAAAACACACAGGGCTCAGTTAACTGCATCTGCTCGTAGAAGTCCTTGGCCTTCTCGATGAGCATTGGGCCCGATACAGGCACGCCCTCAGCACGCTTGCCCAGGAACCACTCGTACAGGACCCGGTCCAGGTGCTCAAGCTTGGGCGTATGCAGCGTGCGCCGCTGCTCCAGGGCCTTGTTGGACTCAGAGCTGGCAAAGAAGCGCAGCAGCCGGGCCTTGTGGGCCTTGATGTCGTACAGCGTGGACATGCCCACATTGTACTCCTGCATAAGCACCTTCCTGCTCTCCCCCTTCTCCAGGCGTGCACAGATGTCCATCTTCTCCCTCAGGGTCAGGACTACCCTCTTGCGCTTCTCCCCCGGACCCCTCCCACCAGCCTGCTTGGAGGCCATGTGAAGGGTGGCTTATCCCAAAGGTGGACACAGGCGGACAGGGGACACGTGCCTGCACTAGAGGCCTTCCCGCCTCCCCTCCCCCTTCCGCCTGCCAGTCTGCTGATCCTCCTCCCTGCCTCCCTCCAGATCAAGCAACCTATAGCCTCAGCTGTCCATCGTCTTCCACTCCTGATAACGTGGCCGGCTCCTGGACCTCTCTCCAGAGTCACCCTGCCCCCTAAACTTCTCCAGACTACTGAAGCCTGTGGCCTCTGTGGTACGGTGGCAGCTTCTCCCCTCAACCACTGACCAGATTAGAGGGGCCCCAGGAGCTGGCTCCAGCTAACCAGGGCTGCGCTGTCGGAGCCAGGGTGCCTCTCTCCAGGGCTCAAAGTGCTGTGTGGCCCTGTGGGGAACAGAAGCAAGTAGAGGCCATTATCCACTTTTAGGGAAATGTTTAATATGAAACCAGCTTAGAAACCAGGAAAAAAATGAGGCCCCAGAGGAAGGGCTGGGACAGCCAGAAAAGGTGTCCTGGAAGCTCAGCACCAGAACCACACTCAAGATGGACAACGCCTCATGCAGATGTGTGCAAGGGAACATGAAAGCTGAAAACCATGGTGACCTGGCTCATGAGGCAAAAATTTCCTTTAAAGATGGAATTCAGATATTACTCCTAAAACAATTTCTTAAACCAAAAGGTACCATGACACAGCAGGGAAATCACGGGGTTCCCAGCCTTGCCACCTCAAAGGAAGCACTGCCACCAAAGCCAACGGGGCCCTGGGAGACATAAACATATCCTCTTCCGCCCAAAGAATGGGGGAGGGCAAAAGGGGACAGAGCTGGGGGGGGGAGCCCTCATCCACAAGTAGACCCCTCCCTGTCCTTACAAGAGAGCCTGAGGGCTTTAGGGGAAAAACAGTCTGTAGGGGTAGAGGGAGCTAGCAGAGAGGAATATTCCAGAAGGAAGTGTTCTGGAGACGAGGAAGAGATGAAGTCTTGGGAGCAAGGAGGATTGGGGAGGGGGGTAAAAAACAGGAACATCGGGGTGCACATCTTGCAGGGAGGGCGCCGGGGGCTGAGAAGCGTCCTCAGGGGAGGCCGGTAGGTACAGAGCCCCGTCTCCGTGGAGCACAGGCCAAGAGACCCCGGGGCAGAGAGACGCCCGGGCGACCGGAGGCTGGTTTGGAAAGCGTTCCCATCCCGGGGCCACGTCTGGGGCAAGGGCAAACCAAAAGGAAAGACAAAAAGTCAAGTCCCAGGTGGCTTCTCCCGGGGGCAGGGCTAGCGGCTTCCGCAGGCGGAGCCCCGGGAGTCGAGAACCGGCGCCACAGCCAGGCTCGGGCTGGCAGCTCGTCCCGGGCCCCTGTGGGGCGGAGGCGGAGGCTCGGCTCGAGCCGGGCGTGCGGCTCCCGAGAGC